TTATTCGTCTTCAGACTGTTTTTCAGATAACCCAAGATCAATTCCAGAAGTGAGTAAGTCAGAGATTTTTACGGACGAAGTCAAGTTATGGTTTCCAACAATAACTCTCAAGTCACTTCGCAATGTCATTTTGTGAATAATGCGAACTGCAGATTTCTATCTTCTTCCTAGCGATAGTTGTTCGAAAGATGAGCACGGTCATTATATTATTGGGCAGATAGTTATATTTTCATTTATATCTTAACCGAACTAGTTTGTTTTATAAATTCAGTAGCATCAAGATCTTCGATTAGCATCAGTAAGCACTTATGCCTCACTTAAATATTTAAAAATACTAACTAATAATTCGATATTAATCTTTCTTTTTTAAATCGAGTGCGTGCAAATAAGTTGGTATGGCTTCTGCCTCGAAATAGACCATTGGACTCGATAGAGCAATCCAGTCCGAAGTGATTCTTTTCACATATAGAGTGCACCTCATCGGACAAGATTGATGGATAGAATGGAGTTAAGCTTCTGTTGCAATGTTCAGCCTAAACTTGATATCTATTCTGAATGAAGATTTATATGCTTTACAACTATGTAATAAGAGCCAGGAAACATTGCTATCCAAGCGTCTGGTAAGTTTTATTAAGGAAATTAATCAAAATAATGCATTTGTAAAATTCAATGATATTGCTCGTCGCACACAATGTTGAATGAACTTTTCATTGTACTAACAAAGGAACGTTCACAGGTGGCAAAACACTTTTGAATCGTATCTAAAAGCATCATAGAAGTCCTCATGAACTTTGAATATGCTGAAGAGATCATGTCTCTAGCTTATTTTCGCTAAGTGACTGTATTTTTTTACAGTATTTTCTAGCACACTGCCGTGATGATCCTCAGAAACGTTCAGACAACTGAATTTTGAATTCCGCCTTCGGGTTTTGTATCAAAGAGTGCTGCAATGAGATTAGCTTACTGCAAAAGTTTTAGATATTTCGATTGTTATTACTTTAGGAAACAACTATGATAAAAGCGTTTGTCTCATACCACTCATATACACTGGTAGATTTAGCTGTTCCTATTTCAGAACAGCAGCAATGAAAAAATATGAAACATTCACAATAAACTATTTTTATGGGGACTCTTTCTGCGTCCAATGTTCGGAGTTGAAATTTAAAGTTCAGTTTTTTGGGTTTCTCTAAGGTAGATCATGACATTATGCTAAAAGTATAGGCACTTGACGATAATAATCTTGGGATATGAGCTCTTACTCGACTATTCAAAGCTCATGAAGGTCTATATCCTACATATAGCCCTAATTCAAATGCATTTTGACACTTGCTAATATTCCTGGTTAAGCCTCATGAGTGTTATTGAAGTACACGAGCGTCGAATACGGTAAATATATGCGGTTTGCATACCTATATATATACGGTACAAAGACGGCATCTTCGTGACTGTATACGTGGTACATTTTGCCGTAAACCAGGACAATACTCTACGACTGTACTTGTAATGTGTCATATACAGTTTATTTACCTCCAACATAAAATGAACTATCCTGATACAGTTGTATTTGCATCGTATATATACTGTATTGCTTTCGAGTACCATCATTTTCATCAGAAGAGTGCAAGACACGGTTTATTGCATTTGTAAACAATGCCTCAATGTCTAAAATTAAATAATTTTCTATATCCGTATTTACAAAGCAAAGACCGTAAATATATTGTTATTTATCCTATATGAGTGTTTTTACATATGCACTTTTCATCTGTCGAGATGACACTTAAGATACGCATATGTGTTTATGGTAACTCCTATCAAATATTATGTATTAGATAGACTTGAAGAATATATAAAAACGTGGGTTAAGAAAAATGCTTGTTTTCAATTGTTTAACAAGAGAGAGATATCAAAACTTAGACAATACTTTCAAAAGATGGGAATTAAATTGAAGAAATCTCAATCTGAGATATACTTAGTTATTACGAAGGAACGATGGATGCAAAACAGAAAAAACTTTATATGTCAATATATATTCATGAGCTTATAACATTGATAAAAAAGAAAGGAATTTTTTAAGTTCAAAGCAGCTTGGCAGTGTTTAATAGGACTTAACACGAGCTATCGATTGTATACCATCATATAATAGGATCTAATTATCGATTGAAAGCACTTGGGTGATATGACATGAATACAGGTCGTAAACGATGGCTTAATACGGCATATTTATATTGCACGAAAAAAAAGTCGTCGTCAAGGGCACATTTTTCTGCAGCAGTATGATGCATCGCATATAGTAGTTGTTTTCAGACGAAAAATCATCGTAATTTAGCTACACACGACCGTGTATGTATCATGTTGTTCGACCAGAATGAGACGTCGATAACTATAGATTGAAATAAACATTGTAAGCTGCAAATAGTTATTTATCTGACTGCTTAAAACTGATCAATGAGTAATTTACTTTTTAAGAAATACCCCAGAAGGAATGCTAATTTTTATTAGGTTAGAGTATTAGCGACTACACTTTGTTTTATGATCGCCATGATGAAATAGTTCTTTTAAAGTTTGGATAAATTGCAGGAGTAATTGGATCAAATTGGACGGAAAACTTTTTTCTATATTTTTTATTTCAAATGTTTCATTTGAAATTATTCGGGTATTAGCGAATTCATAGAGAGGAGGATGACCATTCTAATTATTCCTATATATTAAATTATACAAAAAAATCTTTGATAATTCTTTTATAAGAAGATTTCAAGTCAAAGTTTAAGTTGAAATCATTTGCACATATTAGAAAAAAAGAGAAGATCTTGCATTATCAATATACAAAAAGTCTTGAATTATGAATTGTTCGGAGCATCGTTCGTCTAATATTTTTATAGCTTTCACTACAACAACTGTTACGACTGCTACCACTAGTAAATTCGCTTCGTTTACTTTTCGACATGCAAATAACAGTGTATAGAACGAAATTTTAGCAGCCATTCTTTTTTGTACGTAATATTTATTAAAAACAACTAATAATGATTGTTATAGACTTTAGAATACACTCTATGTAACACCCAAAAATATACGGGCACCAAACTACAGATTAAATTGAGATCGAATCGTCACCAAAGTCAACACTAGTTCTATACATCTTTATATGTCAATTTTTTTTCTGTTTTCCTCTTAAATAAATTCTATAAAAATTCTTCTTATAGCACCTGATACAACGACTGTAGCACATGAATTCATTCATCAAGTATTCGATTCTGTTAGCATCTATTATTTTATAACAAGATTGTTATTTGGTAATTATTATAAACCATGTTGAACGAACCTGAAAGACGGATTGCAACCAATAGCCACTGTTTTTCCTGATAATGATAAGCCAATTCGATTACTTCTAACTTTTCTTCCTTTTATGATACCATTAGTGTCTGTTACCTTAGCTGTTTATGTACCTGAAGAATTATTTTTTTTTGTGCGGAACGAATTATTATTATTTTTATTTCAAAATGAAGTATCAAAAGAGACACATAACGATTTTATGCATGATGTAATGAACTAAACTGTTGAACATTGCTTTTATTTTGATTGAGTTCATTTATTTTCTTTTTGCTCATAGAAAAATTTTTCGTAACATCACACCGTCATACAATCGTATTTTTTTAGACTTTCTTTTTCCTGGACATATTAACCAGTAAGTCAAAAATGTTAAGACAAAATATTTGATTATATTTGGCTCTCATGAACATGTTTCCGAGAAGTCAAAAGCTATGAATTAGAACCCGCATATTAGGCACTTTCTGAATATTGACTTCAAAATTGTATCTCAGTTCTTTTTCAAGAGTACTAAGGTAATCTTTGAAAGAGAGAAAAAAGAATGACTTTGGATGGAAAATCTGAAACGAAGTTTCTGATGAAAATAGCTGCTCATATTGATCTGCTTCAAAATATCTCAGACAAGCCAAAAACTATGGATAGTGGTCAGAATTTTGTGCTCTGTTTCAATATGAAATTAGAAATACTGTGTCTTTTTTTTTGTTCGAGATTAATGAAGGAATTTTGTAAACGTTTAAGAAATTTCATTGAATCGTGAATCGATAGGCTTTTGCTAATTTCAATAAGTTCCTTTTCAAAGATGCCAAAAAATATTCGAGGCGGTTGTTTTGTCGAGCAAATACTTCTTTGCGAAATGTTATATTGAACTACGCTGTGATTTCTACATAATTGGAACTATACTAGAGTTTGTTGATTGAAATTTTTCGAATCAAGACTTGTTCGATCAAACTTTTTTCAGACGTGGGCCCGGCCTCGGTCGACCATATTTTGATATCTTTCATGAAATTTTCTAATCAGAACGGGATGGTCGCTCCGAAGACAGGAGATCGTGGCTAAAACATAAAGATCTATAGGTTTATTCTGTTGTTTGTTTTCCATTTGGCAGCTTCCAAAGTAGAATTGAGATCAGCAGATACCTTTTGAATGTAAGAAGTCTTCTGAAGTTATTGTTTGTTCTTCGATCTATCGTTCTCCGCTACTTCTGTTGCCTATTCATTATTAATTTTTATTGTTTGAATTCGGTATGCTTTGTTTACTCATGGGGCTTGCTCATGTTCTACTTTTTATTGTTTTTTTTTTCTATCAATTTTCTTCGTTTCTTTTCAATATTAGTTTTTTATTCTTTCTGAAACTTAAAAAAAATAAAATAAACAATATCTGGTAATTACTGAAAGAACGAAGGACTCTCCACATTATTTTCTACATACAATGATGTGTTACTGATACGATTGGCAGAACATATGATTAGTGGATGTAAAGAAATATGTACATTATTTGTTTGTCAATCAATTGAAGTTTTTTGTTCTTTTCAATTGACAGCTGTTGTGACTTGGTTGCCAGGACGATGCTCTTACGTTCTGTTACTCTTTTTACTTGTAATTATTTGAAAGCATGACCATCTAATTCAATAATGTATGCATGCTTTCGGCTATTGTCGTCATTTTGTAAAAGATTGCATGGAAGCTAGTATTCGTTCTCGATCGAATACACCCTGTTGTTCTGAAAAAAATCAAGCGTATCAAACAACATATAGACGAGAATACGTCCTGAAAAGATCATCATCAACTGATGAAGGTGCAGCATTTAGTCAACGATTTTTAATTGGTTGTCCATTTGATTTGAAGGATCCTGTAGGTGAATCAATATATGCAATTGATTTCACTAATCAAAAGAATGTTCAACGAGAACCTTTTATTCGTCCCAATACGAATAGAGCTAATCGACCTCATCCACATAAGCAATTCCCTTATTGGCCTCGACGGTCTGAGAGTGTTTGTGACTTACCATCTGACGAAACAAAGCAAGCACTCAGAAATCAATTGGACTCGACATATCGAGTAGACTACATAGGTAAATGAAAATATTTATTTCTCTGTCATCAGTTTGATGTTGCATTGTTGTTTTCTTGTGTAGGAGCGTCTCAAGGATTTTGTCTACCAATGGCTTATAATCGATCGCATCCTTTTTGGCGTAAACGAGCTCAATACACTCTTGATAGTGAATACCGAAATGCTTATCAGACTCATTCTAAATCAGCATTACATACTGGTGGACGTTATTCATTTAGTTGTCGAGTGCCAGCTGATGCAATTGTTCCACAAACATCACCTGTATGGAAGGAGAGATCATTAAGATCAATATATGGACATGAGATTAGTCAAAAGACTCCATCAGAACTCTATATGAAAGAATTCGTAGATTCTCTTGGTGGACCTATGAGTTAATCGATGATTTTTATTATAATACTAACAAGAATAAATTTAGTTAGAATAAAAACAAGTAGATAATTCAAAGAAGAATATACTTCTGCAGTAATATCAAACAGAAGATAGAGTTGCATCGTAAGAATCAGTTCAAGAAACTTCCACAATGTTGAAAGAGTTTGTTGTAATATATTTAAAAAATGGAATAAATTATAAATAAAAGGTTTCATTTCTTGACAAAAAAAAAGAACTGCAATAGGCAAGCGTCTCAGCCAGTTATCATGAACAAGACACGCTATTTTGTTATATGATAAAATATAAACATTTTTAAGTATATAAAAAAAATAAAAAAAAAATAAAGTCGACGAAGTGCATTGGGCATACTGTCATTTGAACTATGTTATAAAACATCATAAAAAAAACAATAGATGTCGTTGAATATCGTTTCTAACATGTTTTTTATATTATTTACTGAAATAATATTTGTCATAATTAATCTAAATGTCTACCATTACATTAAATTAGTATTGTTTAACTTATTTAATATAAAGTTTAATTAAAACTTCTAACCAACATCGTATCATAGACACTGACTCATATACATGATAAGTAAGCATTATTCATTTTGACATATAACGAACCGGCAAAAAAAGTTTTGCCATTCTATTCATGTCCCATAAAATTTTAAAGACGATACAGTATAGTCATCACCTATTATCGTAAGACATCTATTGCCTTTGCAAATTATGAATAACAGAAAAGGTGAACGAATCATTTCATTTCTTTTAATAAGGAGTTACTCAACAGTTGAGTAAAACAGAACAAATAATATATCCGAGTGATCATTATAATTTTTTCTTACTCAAATATTATCAACATAAGGTTTTCGTTTTTTCATTTTTCTTCTCTGTGAAATATTTTTTCGCAAAGAAAAAAGTGAGTATATCATTGAATTATTAGAAAATCTTCTCGTAGAAACCAATTTTCCATTAAACAGCTTTATCTGTTTCCAGGGTTTAAGTAAATATGACTACGTCTGAAAAGCTAAGTTTTTGGTATTGTGATAATTGCAATCGTACACTTAATCATGGTGAATTTCGTTACAATTGCACAATCTGTGATGACTATGACTATTGTGAAAGATGTGCAAAGACAGTTGATCCACCACATCCTCACCCAATGATTCCTGAACTTGCATATGGGCGTGCGGAAAAAAAGAAATGTCGCATAAAAGACATGGCGACTACTATTCAAGCTGCGATTGACAAATATTGGGATCGTCATTGCATGGGTACACGGGATGTTGATAAAGAGAATTCTTCCATCTACATGGACTCATACTCGTGGCTTACATTTAAGATCATTGGTGATCGAGCAAATAACTTTGGGCATGGATTACGACGTTTAATTGAGCCACGTGGTTATCTTGGTATATGTGCAGGAAACAGGCCTGAATGGATGATTACCGATTTTGCATGCACTTTCCAAAGTATTATTAGCGTACCAATATATACTCAGTTTAATGCAAGTGAAATAGCGTATGTTATCAGTAATACAAAAGTATCATTAATCGTTTGTGACAAGCAACTACTACCAATATTTATCAATCTACAGTCACAATGTCCATCATTGCGACATATTGTCTGCATGGATCCTATTCCCAGCACAATATCAAGTGAGTTTATAATTTTGACAAGTATCGATTTACATCGTTTTAGTAGTTACAAAAGAAAATGGAATCTCAATTCACTATATGAAAGATATTGAGAAAGATGGTTCCACAAACCAATACGACTGTGTCAAGACCCAACCTGCAGATTGCTTCACTATTTTATATACTAGTGGAAGCTCTGGTTTTCCTAAAGGTACTATGGTCTCTGAAAATGCTTTTCGAGCTGCGTTTCCACAACGGTTTCCATTATCATCATCGGCAGCAGATTACATTTATTTCTCCTATCGGCCATTGGCATGGGCAGCTGATCGGGATGCGATAATCATCACTTTTCTCCATGGAGGTCGAACTGGATTTTTCACCGGAGATCCTTCTCGACTGATGGAAGAGATTGCTATCGTTAGGCCCTCAGATTTTGCAGCAGCTCCAAGTTTCTGGAACAAAATATATACTGAATTTAAAACTTCTCTTGCATTGATAACTGCTCACTGTCCATCTGAAATCATAGCAGATGAAGAACAACGTCTTCTACAACAATTCTCAAAACTTATTCCTAATCGATGTAAATTAATCACTGTCGGAGGGGCAATGGTCAGTCCAGTATTACTAAACTTTATGAAACGATGTTTTAAACATTGTTCAGTCATTGAATCATATGGAATTACTGAATGTGGGAGCGTCACATACAATAATCTTGCTGAAGATACACTTCAGTATCGTCTTGAATCTGTTCCAGAAATGGGTTATTCACTCGAAGATAAACCATTTCCTCGTGGAGAACTTTTAACAAAGACTGCACAAATGTTTTCGGGATATATCAATAATCCAGAAGAAACNAATATTCAATCAAATGTCTTTGGAAATATTTATCATGTAATCAATCGAAATAATGAAATAAAATTTGTTGATATAATTGATGGTATGCATAATGATGGTATTGAATTGGAAAGCATTTCGTATGATGAATGGAAAATGAAAATGAAGACAATCAATAATCAAAATAATCCTCTTGAATTTGTAGCAGAATTCTTCTCCAATGATAATTTTAGTGAAAGAAGTATTGTGTCAGCTGATCGGTTTTACAATGCTGTTTCTGCATTAGATTTTCCATCGTTCGATAAAGATTATATTTCTAAGTGGTTAAAGTTTATAATGCATAATATTGTTCACAAATAGTATGTTTTATCTTTATGTGATTTTGTTTTGTTTTATTGAAAATAAAATAAATGCTGAATTAGAAGAAACTAACATTGTCATCATTGACGTATTCAGTTTGTTTTCTTTCCTAATAGCGATAGTTGAGGAGTTAATAGGTCCCTAAATAGAGATGATAGGTTAATAAGTAGTAAAAAGAAAATGAAATGTATTCTATCATGTAGTATGCATGAAGAAATGGAGTCTCTTTTGACGTTCAATACGAATGCATCATGTAATTGTATGCTAAGAAACGTTGGTTCTGCGAAAAAAATTAGTTCTCATTCAAAATATAGTTATTTTCTACCGAAAAATGTTTCGCTTCCGAGTTATTTTCAAATTTCAAGAAATGATCACCTGTAAATATTGACAATATAGTTTTAGTCTTTTTCATTGACCACTTTCATATCGTTTCATTCATTTATTTTTTCTCTTTTTACGAACATTGACAGTGTAGCTCTTTAAAAAGACTATGATCATCTGATTATTTTTTACATTGGTACAAATAGAAACAAATGTCGAGAAACAAGAGTCTATGTATATATTCAAAAAGAAAATGTTCGGATGCTGTGACATCTGGCACCGGTAGTAATTAGTTATGTTCATTACAGGATATGTACTTCTGCTAGTGTTTATTATAATCATCTATCACTACGAATTTGCAAGTCGTTATCAGTTGTATTATAGAGAGCAAAGCAGTTCCTTGTTGAGTCAAGTAATTCGATCGTGCTAAGGACTGTAAGATATATTTTTGATTCTCATTACTATTCGTATTAGATAGCTCAAATGTTGTAGAGTAAACTTTGGAAGAGTAGGCACTTGCGTAAAACGAAAGCTGAGCTTATAATGAATTTTCTGAATATTTATGCTTTCGAAGAACGGATTGTTTTGTCAAATGAGAAACCACAAAGTTAAAAAATAAAATTCTCTCTAGTATGTTACATAAAGTCTCTGGAAAACAATTGCATCAGTAAATACTAGAAACTTGTACTATTCACTTGGATTGTTTTTTTCTCTTGAAATCTATGACTCTGTTTTTTACAGCAGTCAGATTAAATGTCTCCGAATAACCAATTCAAATTCGAAGCTGGCTTATCTTCTTCGCCTATTCACATACGAATACCATGTTCATGATCATGCATCGCAATGGTCATCTCCCAACCAAGTCTATTCACTAGCTGAACAGTTCATAGATATCAAATATCAACATGATGTGAAGAAGCTACTACCCGATGAATCTTCTCAAATTCTTTACAAACTAATATAGTTCCGTTCATCGCCAGATGAACAACTCGAAAAGTGTCTTATGTCTGCATTCAACGCACTCGAAATCTATGAAAATCAGAAAGAATGTGTTGATCATCTTAAATCAATGGAAAAATCAAGATTGATCGTCTAGAATGACTGTCGAAAGTGAACATTCTAAATTTGAATGTGAAAATGTCAAAGGTATCTATCATATCGACTCATACCAAAGCGTCAATCGACTTATATTACAAATACGAAATGATGTTTGTAGCGATATGATAAGTCCAATTCATCCAATCGAGCGATCAGCACGACATTTTTGGTGAGAAGGATGTACCTTTTGTCTCACTCATGTCTTACCTGGGTCTTTACCTGTCGTTGTCACGCAACGTCAACAATTGCATGGAAATGAAAAATGAAATGATAAAGCAGAACGGAATAGAATTGATGAATTTGACAAAAAATACACTCATCAGCCAGTTACAGATATGAAAAAAGCAATGTTTTGGTACACATTATCATTTTTATTCCGAGAATTTATATAAATTTTAGTGGCATACAATCGAAACTAGCATAATCATCCCTGGAGAAACAATCGAGATATGAATTTCTATTAGAGCTTCTTCAGTTTACGATGAAATATATTAGTTTTGCTTGATGCTATTAATATGCTCGATAATTATTATAAGAAATACAATAGACTTTTTTTTGAGCTACTTCCTGTCGATTTCTAGGCGGTTCGTTTGCTGATCGACTTGAAAATCAGGTTCTTCGCCCTGACGATCTGGATCTCATTTATCCTTATCGCTTGTTCATTAATGATTTTTATCCGGAGCTCCTATCCCTGTGTTGTCACTGTAGCGAATCCAACACAAACTTTTTGGTCTATCGCGGTCAATATTTAACTCAACTTGAGTTGGTATCTCTTCAGAGGAGTGTCGACCAACTTGTTACATTTGCAAGTTTTATTTCGATCACAATTGATCGTGAACTGACATTTGAATACACAATGCTAACAGCTAGCGAAAACGTTGTTTTCTGCTGTCTTCAAAGTTTATCTCAACATAACGTATAATAATATGCGTCCGTATGCATTCATCACAACTCATAGCGCGATAAAAGAGGAATCTAGAGTACTCTTTTCTGTAGGTACTATCTTTCGGCTTATCTCGGTTGCTCTGGATTTGAAAAACAGATTCTGGCGTATTGTCATCAATCTTTGTCATCAAAATAGCGAGGATATTAAACACATGACATCGATGAGATCTGATTTTTGTGAAATAAAACTAGTACTATTTCATTCTTCACCATTCATTGATCTGTTTACCTTTCATGAAACTCTCAATATGGATTTATTGTCAAAGCGTTGAAGTGTTAACTCTCTCTATACTCTATTGATACCTATTTAAATCAATAGTGAAATCAATAAGGAATATATACAAATAATGAGACTAATGAAACGATGTTCACTACCATTGATGATGGGTAGAAATAACATCCAACTGCATGAAACGAATTGGGGAAGATACCAAAGGATTTCGATTTTCTAGATTCCTTGAAAAGGAAACCAATGCTCAGCTCTAATTCATTGATCTCCTTATTTCAATGTTCACCGACTATGCGATTGTCGGCACCTAATCTATCGAGTATCAAGCTTGGCGAAATCTACGGTATAACTATCATGATCATGCCAAATAAATTGATCTCGTTACATGAATGTTTACTGAGAAGAACATAGTCATTGCCCAGCTTCTCCAGAGACAAGGTCAACATCAATCAAGCTAAATTTGGCGTGATGAGGTGAAAAATCGAAATGAACTATCACGAAACACAAAAAACTGATGGCAAACCTCTATTTAAAGCATCAATTTATAACGCATTAATGGTTTTCGCTGAACCACGAAACATACATATAGCAGACTCTATGTCTTTGAAAGAAGAGACAGAAGTTGTTAGATGACACATGAAGCATACCTTTAAAATTAATCAAAGTCTATGGTGTGATGAATACTAGATATAGACCTCTGGCCTTTAATACCCTTCTGTAAATTTTGAAACTTTTGAAATACTAGTTCCCTCCCCATTTTTGTTCTTTTGAGCGTTTTTTCTTGTACAAATCTTTCTCTTTGCATATAGAAAGCAGAACCATGAAGATAATGTGGTAAGATTTTCGATTTATTTGATAACCAGTTTCGCAGGTCTAAAAAAATATGCATTATATAGCGAATACATATACAAGACACCATATTAATTGTGCTAGCGGCATTTTTTGATTGAACAAAGTAATTGTAGTGATAAAATTTATTTTCTTTCAATATATCTTGTTAAACTGGCAATCATTAAAGCATACTGATCATAGATTTTGGCACAAGTTTTACTCAAGAAAATATCTGAAGAAGAAGGTTATATTACAATAGAACTATTGTGATATTGTCTATATCTTGAAATAAAATATACGATAATAATGTATCGTTCACAAATCTAATTACAAGATAAAATTAATTCTATACACAAAACAGCCATTTCATGTAACAACATTTTTATATTTGTAGCATACTGTCATTTATCAAGAGAGCCTTTCTTTTTAGAACTTGATGAAAGAACATATTATATTAATATGAGCGGCTTCTATAATATGAGTAAAATCCAACCGAGTTTGAAATTTTCATTTATCATAAAATCCCTCAATTTCCATTAATGGCATGATTAATTGAAGTTTTAAAAGCTTTTTGATAAATGTAATGAGTTTAGTATATGAAGGATGTGGATAAGTCTGAATATGGATTCCATCTGGATGGGGGTTTTGATAAAGTTCATACTCACACTCAAAACTTTACATAAACCGACTATAGTTGATTTATGTAACTGTGCAATTTTACTTGTTATTTTAAATGTAAACAGAGCCTATATTTTCTCCGAAAAAAAATATTCAGAACAAAACCCTTGCATTGATAAGATTGAATAACGACGATTCTATTACCATTTCTTTGTCTATCAATCAATCTTCAAATCAAGCGTTAGGATGGATGCACAACTATATATAAATTGAGATAAACTTTCACTGACAATCTTGATCATCTTTCCTTCATCTGAGCATTTTCTTTTCGATTGACCAATTTTCACTGTTATTATTTTCCAAGAATCTAATCAATGAATAGTTAACAAATTTTTACATTGTTTTGCTTTAAATACTTGTTTCTTCTAGATGAACTCATATCTCAGCATTTCGTCATTGTCTTCGCCATCACTATTGACGACTACCAATAATAAAGATGAAAATTCCATCTCATTAAATGACGTTGTGGCTGTTTCGAATGGCGCAGGTAAGTTATTGTACCTTGTTTTTCTGATTGTGCAATATCATTTAATTATTTAGGTGGTTTCATTCTTAGCAAAGTCATTGAACAACAAAACGATTCATTTGTCTTGAACATATATCATTACAAATTGGATACTCGTACACATATGTTAAAACAAAATGAATAATGAATTTTGGATATTTAGATACAACAAACAATTTCGAAATGAATAGCGACCAGCAGAAAACTTTATTGCATCGCATATATGATCCAGGTGAATGCTTATTTACTTTTTGGATTGAATTATTCTATATTTTCATTTAGATCAAAATTCTTCATCACTACTTTCCTTAATGGTTGAAATAAAAAAAAAGAACGGAGTAAGTCGCTTTTTTATTTGAGCTGATTCCAGGCGATTGTCGGTAATAATGAAGA